CATGGCTCTCATTGGCTATCGCTCGCCGCTTCACTGCTGCGCCGCTCTGGTCTGTAGGCTCCTATAGGGAGAGACCATCGCGAGTGGGATCGACATATTTTAGCATTTCGTTTCGCGTACAACTCTGCTCATCACACATCCTTGCAATCCACTCCTGCCTTCCTGAATTTTGGACGCGAACCTGAACCAGTTCCCATCGTCGAGGAACCCGAAGACGCGGTTGTAGAAATAGAGAATGCGAACCCGGAAACATGGCGTGCGCGCATGGAAGGGGTACGACTGTTGCGAGAATGGGTAATAAAAAACGCTGCGCAAAACCGGTAAACTCGGTATTACAATCAAAGACGTCGGGATCGGGAGTTCGCGGTCGGGGAGGCCGTGTCACAGTATAGGTAAGTACAGTAGTTTCACTCTCCAAAATTTATGGGTGCGCGAATCGCACCATTGTCATCATGGCGTCGATGTCACGTATGGATACTGTGTCACTGTGTGTCACTGTGGTGTCGATGTGTGCAGTGAAAACAAAGGCCTCGCACAACCAACAACATGGCTGACAACATAGGACACATAGATCAAAGGTACCGACACAGAGTGAAACTACTGTACTTACTTATACTGTGGCCGTGTTGAAGAGGCACCATGTGCTTTCGTCCGCTACTCAGCATGTATCGGCGAAGTTGGCGACAAAATTTCATGGGCCATTCAGCGTTGCGAGAATCTTGTCGCCAGTAGTATATGAACTCGCGGACTCCATGGGAAACAGCATGGGGAAAGTGCACGTGAAAGATCTATAACGTGCCTCTTCACTTCCTAGGAATAAACAAACAAGGCTACCAGGCGCCCGACGGCTAATGTCGACGACATTTTTTAGACGGTGGAGGGCGGTTTTCGCCCAGGTCGATGAGACCTACCCCACTTTTTGGAGGGAGCTAGAGGCGGAGGTGAGGGACCTCAGGGTCCGACAGATGGAGGAGAGTAGGGGGAGGATCCGGGAGTGGCCGACATCGAAGGACGCGGCCAACCAAACAGATGCCCCCCTGGCAGCCGAGAGCAGAGGATACAGACCAGTCCCCAGCGGGGAGAGGCTGGGGGGCCCGAGGACGAGGAGACCGGGGGGACCCGCTCTGGTTATTTCGGCAGCTGTCCCGCCGCTGGAGGATGACGACGGCAGCGAGGAGGAGGTTGAGGAGGCCTCCCTCGAGACCGGAATCTGGAAGACCGGGTGCCGACCGGCGCCGCGGGAACCGCGGAACCGCGCGGCATTCCCCACGGATACGGCCAGCGCAATAGAGAGCTGCTAGAACTGCGGGTCAATGCAACATTTTGCGCACCGGTGCCCTGAACCACGACGAGGGGGATTCTGCTATCGGTGCAGTCGCCCGGGAGAGACGTGCTCCGAGTGCGCGGAGGATTGGCGCGCCCAAGGCCCGTACATCCGCGAGCAGGGCAACATCGGACCTGCGCCCAGACGAAGTCATGAAGGGCCCCCAGGATCGCGTAGACGAGTCTACTAAGACGAAGGGACGACCATCCTACGTGCTCCCGGTTTAGTTTTTTTTTTCTTTTCTTCCTCTTGCGCTCGTTGAGTGCGTTCTTTTCTTTTGTTTTTGTCCTCCTTCCCTGCCTTCCGCTTACTTCGCCCCGCTCAGTTCTGTTCTTTTTGTTGTTCTCGGAGCGTCATCGGGGGTTGTTTTGTAGGGTGTTGCCCCCACACCCAGTAGGAGCAATAAAACGCAAAGTATAAGAGGATGTACTGTGTTCGTTGAAACCCACCTCCCGATTTCCTGACCGCCCTGTTATCCGTGTTCAAGTCGAGTCTTGATGTAGCGAAGCGTGAATGGCGCGGCTTGGTGCTCTCGCCCGCTGCGCGGAATTGACCGGGCCTCGCAATACGTTGCGGCTACGTTTTTGTATTCGTTTCGTCCTTGGTGCTTGGGTGGCTCTCACTGGAGATTTTGGCTGCGCGACGTCTTGCCTCGAATGCGTGCGGCTGTCGAGGAGCGATCTCGCCGGGCGGGGTCTCTCTTGACGTGGGGGAGTTGTAACGTTGCAGTTCGCTGCATCGTCGTAGCGACCCTTCGTCGTCACAAAGCGCGAATAGGCGCGGGACCCTTCGTTTCAAGATACAGAATCGACCCCCTGGAGACCGCGGAAGCCGAAGGCGGAAAAGCCCGTGCACGTGTGGTGCATGTTCTCGGGACGGCGAGCGTTCGAGAGCAATTAATGCAATAAATTTTAGTTACCGGTACGCGAGTCGTGAGCGAATGTCGCGTGGACTTCCGGCGTGAACGCCGTGTCGGGTTTTTGGAAAAATTACTTATATCAGGCGCCCTGGAACGCTAGTCCCACGGGAAGTACGCCGTTCAATGTGGTATTATGTAGCGGCGTTGGTGTGAGTGCGAAGTCGCGCGCTTCGCGTCCTTGTATGGAATGAGAGCTGTTGACGTTATTTCGAATCGCGAGGAATTAGAGTAGTCATATTTTATGCGGCATATTGCGTCTGCCTATCCTTCCCATTTATCTATTTATCCCATTTTTACCCCTGTACAGGCGTTTTTACTATGGGGGGGGGGGGGTTAATAGGGGTTGTAAACTTTTCCTGAGCGATCAAAAGCTTAATACTACAGTCATGTACGAAGTCCTTTTTATATTCACCAATTTTTACCGTAATTTGCGCATTTCTATTTTTCATCAGTGTAGGATCGCTCATTTATGAGAGAACGGTTCACTTCACAAAAAACTGCTAAGGAACTTTTTTGTTCACAATTATCTCAGCTGCATTTTTTGTTTGAAACATTTTTTTCTACGGCGTACAAATTCTTGGTAAATTGACGTTTTCCATTTTTTCCCCCTACGAGGGGGGGTTTTAGGGAGAAGCCCGGGGGTAGGAGTGGCAAACTTTTTTGCATCTTTTTTGGGATCCCAAAATTGACATTCACAGCAAAATTCAGCTTGTTCGTATGATTTTTAGAGGTTGAGTGGCATTTTCGTCTCTGACGACTGGACTATAATGATATAAAATTGTACTATATTGCTGCGCACGTATTTGCACTGTAATGTACAAACGAAGGATTTGATATAGACTCGACGGATGTTGTACTTCTAATTTTTTTCTGTTACACGATATAAGATTGCAATATTGAATGCTTTCCTGCAACGGAACAGTCATACACTGTGATGCAGTGATATGTATTAGTTATTGGTATCTTTTGGAAATTCTTTTTGATTTAAGTATTATTCTTCAGTCATTATTACAAAGTTTTTTTAGGGTGCGATGACGAGCCCCACCATCTATTTGTTTAATTAAAATTTGCTATTAAATATTAACAGTATGCTTTAAGGTAGTTCTTCACGGACTCCCTAGTCAACTGAATGCTGAAAATAAAAATTGCGAAATTCTCAATCGAATTGTATATATGGCGTTCATTAAATATATTTATAAATTTTAAGGTCTTTGTTGATAATATTTGCATTGAAATAATAAAGTTTTAATAATATTAATATTGTTTATACGTAGCGATGAACCACGTAGTGACATGAAATAGGTTATGAAGTCGTACATTTTTGCTGTTTCTACAATAAAATCTCGAAAATTTGTTCGGCTACCTCCACTTTTATTTTGACCGTTAAAAAGTACGAATCTTTAACTTTCATCTATTACTTTTTCATTATCAACTGCAGTTTTTTACTATACTAATTTGTAAATAATAGTGCTCGGAACTGTACGATACCCTATGTCTCCGTGTATAAGAAGCCAATTTCAACGAATTTTTTCTCAAAAAGTTGAGTTCGGCAATCGGGGTTTAAAAAAATTGTAGCATATAGTTCGAGATCCAGAGAACCTCATATATTTTTCTTATTTTTTTCTGCAGTAATTCATTTTTGTGAAGAACTACCTTAAAAGACCCTAGTGTGCCGATGGAGAGTTAATACACTTAGGCACATTTAATTAAATGTAAGTGCAATAGAAGAAATTATTTGATACTTAAAGTAATCAACACATTTTATTAGTTTTATGGTCGAAGCATATTTAATTCTAATATAATTGTCCAATTATACAAGAATTAAATATGCTTCGACCATAAAACTAATGAAATGTAAAAATTTGAAATTCTTAAAATATATTAAAATATTGTTCTCGAAATATGTATATTCTTAAAATAGTTTGATCTCGTTAATAGTTTAAAATGTTTAATCACGAAATATGCGTTTTATTACTTAAATATGTTTATTCTCAAAGTATGTATAATAAGGTAAATGTCCCTGTTTGTGACCATATAAGATAATCGCATGAGTTAATACGAATAAAAAAATACTCTAGAGTGATTAAAATTAGGAATCAATTATACCGAACTTAAGATTAATCATTTTTGTATCGAAAAACATGCTTTACTGGGGTTGTAAACATAATCTAATAAATATAAAAGAATAAATAGCAAACTATGTAAATGTAGACATTAGTGACCGCTTGATTTTAATTTTACCCTATTTGTAATACCGTCGTCTGTTCCTGTTAGTGACTGGTGCATTGGATCGAATGTATCATTTATTGTTAGTGACCGGCGAATACGTTTTATTGCTTAAGCCGGTATTCATAATGCGTTCTTAATTTCAAGACCGTCTCAAGCAATGTTTTAAGATGCTAATATGGTTCTCTAATTGATTCATGACATCTTAAGCACTAGCTTATGACCATCTCGAAGCTTGAGCAACGTGTGTGGATTCTGTCTTTGGAGATTGAAATTGGGGAAAAATTGAACATTAATAGATTTGTTTGGTTGCTTGAGTTATTATTTTTTTTGGTAGCTTTTTCGACTCGTTGCAACATTTTTTGCCTTTTCTTTTCCTCTGCTTCTTGTTTTTTTTTTCTCAGCCATTTCTTGACGTTTTCTTTTTCTCTCTTCGACTGCAATTAGACGTTGACTTTTCTCTGTTTCTTTCGCTCGGTGATATTCTTGCCAGGCTACCGAAGTGGCCACTGAAGGTACTTTGACTTTTACAGCACGTTTCTTCGCTGCTGAATTATTTGTACGGGGCCAAAATAATGTCTTTTTAAAAACATCTGGGATATCAGAAGGAACGTCCAAGCAATCTGAAAGATAATAGAGATTAGACAATTCGTATTCAACTTTTTAATAAAAATTATTCAATATGTACTTATATGTACCATTGTCATTGATAGTAGACAATAAAACTGATTGTGTAGCTTCAGTGGCGTAGACATTAGCATTAGATGCTCTGAAAAAGTAGAATAATTTTATTTTATAGACTGAATATAACAAATGATAATAATGTTGAAAAGTTTATAAAATTTACTCGTTCTCTATCATCGTATCTTCATTAAGGTCAATTTGTAAAGGATCTGTAGGGATCATTTCATTTGTCTCTACGATCTGCAGGACATTATTTGCTTCAGCATCAATCGAGTCATCTGTAAACTGAAGACTGGGATAAAACAGTACTTCGTTCATCGAATTGTCTTCAGAATTTTTTAGTAGCGAAATGTTTTCCTTTTCTTTCATGTCTTGATGCACTGAATTATGTAGATCGGATGCAACATCTAAATTAGATTTTAAGGCACAAATTTCATTACTGATGCTGGAGTTAAGATTTAAATTCGGATCACTTACAACAAGAATGTCAATAGAATCCATAGAATTAGAGTCTGTAGTATTACAACCTCCTTAAAAAGCAAATTAAAATACGAATTAAAAAATTAATTTATTTCAAAATTGAATCAAGAAAACAATGTGCGATTGAGTCAACTTTCACTCTATCGAATCAAATCATTATAGTGGATTCATAACTGTTTAATTGATACTTCTTTAAGACATGATTTAATTTATTGAAAATTAAAGCTAATCAATCATATAATCAGATTGAATGAACATTGCCTAACAATTCGTTTGTGTCATTAATGATAATTTTAATTTAAATTTCTTCTCAAATTCGTGAATATCATAATCATCTCTGGAAGATATACATGTATATACAGAAAATAAAAAAAATTTTTTTAAATTATAAGTTATAAAAATTATTACTTGATAATTTCAAGATTTTTTGCCAAAAAAAGAAGAGGCCAAGATTTTCAAGATTGTCGTCATAGATTCCAATTTTATTAGCATGTCTGAATTTGCTCAACAAATCTTTATCGATGTTCCTCTCAATAAATAATAAATAATTTTCAACATTCTGTTCTGATTCCGAAGTTACTGTCGTATCATGTTTTTTCTTCTGCAGTAATTGATTGTATTGGAGTGCGTCGGCTGAAAACGGGAAAAGGCCACATTTTCTGAAACCATTTTTCATCACTTTTGAAAGTTCTACATGTTCGATAGCAATTTTAAGGAGCGGACTAAAATCTTCTCTTCTGAAATTTCTTTGATTTTGCATTCGCCAATCGTTTACGCAGTCTTTCCACTTTGATTTAAGCGTCCGAAATAGAGCAACGTCAAGTGGGTGAATCAAATGTGTCGCGTTCGGGAACAATGCGATAAGTTCTATTTGATGATTCATACAAAACTCGGCAAGCGGTAACGTCATGTGTGAAGAATGTCCATCGACATATAGAATAATCGGCCTCTCGATGTTCTGTGCTGTCAACCATGGCTCAAATATGTTACTTATATATTCATAGAAAGTTTCGGCCGTCATCCATCCATTTTCTGACTTCCCGATAGCCCAACTAGTTGGTACACTTTGCGAGATGCTATAGGGAATTCTTTTATACGGAAAAAGTATCATTGGAGGAACCAATGTGCCCGTAGCGTTTGTCATGAATAGCACCGTCAAGCATTCCTTTTCGTCATTTTGCGTGAAATTATAAACTGCCTTATTATCTCCTTTTCTGACAAGCACATGTTCCCCTTTTGGACAAAGATAGAAAGCAGATTCGTCGCAATTAAATATCCGGGCTCCATCAATGTCTTTTAACTGCTTTTCAGATAAATGTTTTTCGATTTCTTTGAACCAACCGCGCAGAATATCTTCTGTCACTGATGCTCGACTTTTGGACAAATTTTGAGCTATACGAGTAGAAATCTCTGGATGTCGACGTAAAAATGCTTCATACCAACGACGCCCCGGTCGTCCATCAGTAAATGGCGTTTTTTGATGCAAATGTTTTATTAAATGAGAAGCGTTATACAAAAGTTGTGTTTTTGTCACAGGGAAGCCTCGTTGACTGAGATGAAGCATCCAATGTACTATTTTTTCCTCTTCCTCAACAGAGAATATAGGAGGAGGACCTGATCTCTTTCCAATTGGTCGATATCCTTTCAATTTTGATATTAGTGTTGATTTAGGAATACCACTTGATTTGCTAATACCACTTATTGACTTTCCAGAACGAATATCAGCGAGTGCTTTAATAAGTTCTGTGTCAGACCATTTCTTTCGAATTTTACCCATTATGCTGAATTGAAACTTTAATCTACAAATCAAAATTCAAAATTTCATGAATATTATAAAAATTAGGAAATAGGGAAAGAGGTAATAATAGTTGCTTTCCATTTACACCGATTCTCAGATAATTCTCACTTGTGACGTCATAACTCAGTTCAATGCGCGTTCTTTTTACATTCTGAGAAGTGAGATTCAACTGAGTTTTTATCACTTTTTACCTATAAACTGCACAAGATCGAGACCGTGTGCTTTTTACTAAATCTCATAACTCACTTTAAAAATGAGGTTATAAACCTATGTTATTTGTTAATTTTACCATAAGCAAGTGGTGACGTCTTTAATCTGAGTATTTCATACTCACTCAGTATCCAAGAATGGATTGAAATGGATTCAAATTTTCAGAAATACGGATTCATGAATGTTAAAATGAATCCTTTTCAATCCGAATAAGTTTTTATTCATTTATAGGAATTGCATATGGAGCATATCTGTATACTTTTCAATCATAAAATAATATTAGCTTTTTCAGTGCGTTTGTGACCATAGTGAATACTGTTCAATTCATAGTTTTGAATAGGAAACGCAGTTTTTCAATCCAGTTGTATCCAATTGAATCCAATTAAATCCAAATTAATTCAATTGAATCCACAAAAAAGTATTCGCTATTTAAAATACGAATTCGAATAGACAAAATCCATTCTCGGATACTGTGCAGCTCACTTCAGACTCAGTTTCACTTGTGTGTAAATGGAAAGCAACTAATGTTAAAAACACTTCGTTTCTGCTCATAGACGATCATTGACGATCATTTCTCGAATATTGATAAAAATATACTTACTCAATGTGTTTTCGCGTGAAAACAAAGATTTGCCGAAAGTATCGCACTGTACTGTAAACAGAGATACCTAATATTAATCGTTAAACTTGATTGATAATTATTCAGGTTACGAAATTACTTATGATGCGAACATGCACTGACATGCACTGCGTAATTATTTTTTGTTCTTTTTGCCTGCACTGTCTGCACCAGTTCAGACAGTGTGGTGCAATAAGTTGAAGTGAAACAAACGTATATCTGTTTCACTTCAACTTATTGCACTGTGGGCACAGTCAGGAAGTAAGATATAAGGAGACTCCGTAAAATAAAAGTGGACCCATTTTAGGTTTCGAGTTCAGTTTCCAATTCTGATGAGTGCGAGTAAGAGAAATGATCATTTCTCTTACTCGCACTTATTATGCACAGCACTACTAAATTCACGAGCGCTGCGAGTGTTGAGAATCGGAAACTGAACTCGAAATCTAAAATGGGTCCATGTTTTGTAGACTGGCGAGACTGAGTGGAGTCTCCTTATATCTTCCTTCATGGGCACAGTGCAGAGAAAAAGAACAGGCCTATGGTCATACACATGGTAGAAATACATGCTCATTCGGTAGACGAATTTATGGCACATTCGATACATATGCACTGACACGATTCTGGTGCAGTGTTGCCAGATACCTTTGTAGACTTCCCCCTAAAACAGTCTCGGATTCTCCCTAAATCTCCCTCAGGAGACTGAAAAAATCCCTAGATTTCTCCCTAAATGTTATTCCGTTTATTTAGACGTTTTTCTGTAAACTTCTTTATTATATAAACGTTTTCTGTTTATTCATAAACGGTGAGTTTAAACTAAAAACAATAGCTCATTTACACGTCAGCAATGATATGGATAAAAAATTATCTAATATTATGTTCAAAATAAAATAATTGAATATTAAAAATTTCTATTTAATAATTTTAGATATTAATATATAATATAGAGGAGGAAATAAGAAATATTTTAAATATATTTTTAGATGTTAAACATTTCAAGCTAAAATAGAACAAATAAAGGACTCTTTCTTTAAAAACATTATAAACATGGGAATGGCATTGTAAGAGTCAAACGAAAAGAAAATTAACAACAAATTAATACATATATTCTAAAATTAATGAACATATAAAATTTACATAAATGTAACGATTAAAAAACAGATGTTAATTACATTACTAGTTTCGACCACCAAATCTGGTCCTCTTCAGATGAAACACTTTACGTTGAAATGTACAAAATTATGGAAAAACATCAATATATAAGAAAATCTTGTGCGTAGTTAAATATATAAC